AAATGCCCCCCTGGTCACAGCCGACAAGTGGTGGTCAAAACTCAGCTGTGGATCCAGGAGGACTCCCAAGTTCTTGGGAGAACCTTGTTCTCATGTCTTTCAGCCCTGGAAGAGTATAGACTGGTGAGCCCTGGTGAGTATAGACTTTCAAATGTGAAAGTGAAGGAAGTATTTTTTGTTTAAATTAGAAGATCTTGAAGGCTGGACCCTAGAGCAAGAGCATGAAGAAAATGGAGCTGAAATCCTTAGAGCAAACTTTTGAATAACTTACATCTAAGCTTTTGGAGAGAAGGGATCCAATTTTTGATAAATTGATATTCCAATGGAGTTGTAAAACAAGAATGAGTGACAATGAATGTTTATGAATTAATTTGAAGGGGATCTTAAATGTAATACAAATGGATCTGATGAGTGACTTATTTCCAAAAGAAAATAAACAGACATAAAATCAAGATTGACTTCGATATATTTTTTTCTTCTGGATATCCAAAAGAGCTCTACTAAGACTTGGAAGGGCTTTTTAAAAGAAAAAATAAATCAAAGGATAAATCTTATTTATGGTTACAAGAGAAATCTGTTAAATTTATGAAGGATTTTCACATTGAAACAGATAAGTAGCGAAGTAACTCTGGGGCTTTTTCTGAAGGGGTCAAAGAATATCTTTAAAAATCAAGGAAGATTTATAAAAATGACTTGTTTGATCAGGGTTAAAAGAAGAAAATAGTTCTATTTGATTGCCTATACTGGATTTCTGCTGACAAAGATTGACTGATGTAGCATTTTAATTGGTTTTTGTTTTTCTTACCTCAGAGATGAGCTATGGGAAGAAAAGAGATGATGTCTTATTTGGAGGTGATAAGCTATTAAAATTCTTTTTACCTGCAGGATGAAGGGAGATGTTGCTTCTTTTTCTTTCTCTTTCCATTTTTTCCTTTCTTCCTTTCTATTTTTTACCATCTCTTTTTTGTTTTCGTACTTTTGTACACTTTGTAGCTTATAATTATTTTTATCCTTTGTATATATAATTCTTAAGACAATTATTTGAAAAAAAATATTATTGTAGAAATTAAGTGAATTCACCATGAAAATCCTGCTCCTGCTCTTGCCCACCTAGCAATTTGAAAGCATCATGTACACAGGAGTAAGATACGGTACTACTTCAGGAACATGAAAGGGACCCGCAATCGGGCATTCCCTGCACAACAGTGATGTTATTGGCTAATCCTTTCAACCCAGAAGTGCCTCAATGCTTCTGATATGAATGGGATAAACAGGACAGGAGTTCAGAATTAGCAGGATGTTTAAGATTGATAATTGGGAAACACAGGTGGACTGTTTCACATGGTTTATGCAGTTTATGCACTTCACATAGGCTAGATGGGACTTTTATCAGATTGTACATATTTCTTACATTTCAACCTTAAATTACTAGTAGATAACTGTATAATAGTGTGATCAAGTGAAGTCATTAAAAGTTTTATTGATGCAACTAGTAAGTCTAGTTCATGGGGGGGTTCTGGCTGCTGCTACTGCTGGTTTGCTTAGAGATGCAGTGTGGGCATGCACGCACATGCGTAGTACTATAAAAATACTTCTGCGCATGCGGAGAAGCAAAAAACAAGATGGTAGTGCCATAGGCTGATTTACTACCTACTCAACTGAACTGGTCCGAAATGGTAGGAACACACCTCTGGTCTAGTTGAATCTGATAGCATTTTAATGACTTAAAAAAGCATTTTTGACATTATTGAAGGTTTTCTTTAGCACGTATATGCCATTTTGAGCTCTTGAATGAATAATTTTAATACATGATAAATAAGCAAGAATTCTGATTCATTATAAACAATAATACAGAGAGCAAACTTTGGTGTAGTTCTCCTACTATCCATAGTGTTAGCATTACATCCATCCTAGGATCCTGGGCTTTCTACTGAATGGAAAAAATCTGAATTAACAAACCAAAGTATCTAGCTTTGAGGCAGCATTATAATAATTGATATGCACCAGTATTTTAAACTGATTCTGCTAGCAGAAGAAACCAAGAAACAGCAATTCAGGAAACCCCATCTGAATGCTTCTTAAATTCTCATGATCTGTCAGAATTTTCAGTTACTGTTTTATTCAAAGTAAATTATAGGCTGGAGATTAACTGTACAACTTTAAATCCTACAACTTTGAAGAATTGAACGTATTTCATTCATTATTCTATATCAGCCACTTTTGTTGACAAAATGTACTCACTTTCACAAAGTGTAGGAAGTTCTGACCACTTATTAGTATCAAGACATGTCATAGAACGAATTGTTCCAGATTTAGGGGTATAACCTGGATCGCACTGTAATCGCAGAACAGTTCCAATTGGATAGCTTTGTGCCAGGTCTCCCCCACCTCTTGGTGAAGAATTGGGAGGCAGAACTGGAGTTTGGCACTCACCTGTAGATAAGCAAAAATTAGGAAGATCTGAAGTAAAGAACAGAGATAAAGATCTAATATAGTACTGAAGCCCAACTGTTCATAAAATCTTAGTCATAGATTTCCTTACAATCTGTCTCTAACTTGTTCTTTCAGGTTTTCTAATGAGGTATTCATCATCACTGCCACAGTTGACTCACGTTGCTGCTGGTCAACCTCTTCTTTTTTTCTTCCACTTTCCCCAGCATTAGAGCCTTTTTTAGAGATCTACTTCATCACATAATCTATTTGAAGTTCAATACTTCAAATAAGCCTGGTCATATATGCCTCATGTAAGAGTTGATTTATTGATTATCCATTTGTTTGATTTATGGGCTGTCCATAATATTCTCATTAGTTTATTTTTCAAATTATTATTTTATGTGTTTGTCTTAATTTAATACTTTCCCAACTCCACTAGATTTTATTTCTGCAACATCAACACCAAAGTTTCAGAAAGTCAATATTCTTCTTATTCTGCTTCTTGAACTGCTGCAACTGCAGTTGTAAGTTGACATACTCATATGATGTTGTGCTTTGCAACCAAGTTGCTTAGCAATAGAATTGTCAATCTCAATTACTGTCATTAAGTGAAGACTACTTGTAATGACTGATTACTAGATATTACTATCAATGCAGTAACCTGCCATAGTTGTTCTATACATGAATTTCCACAAAACTGGAATATGAAAACTGGTATAGAGCAGGGCTGCTTCAGATTATCTAGGATACCTGCTATTAAAAATTTAGCTGACCTGATCTCATGGTATTTTAGCAATAGCGATAGCAATAGCAGTTAGACTTATATACCGCTTCATAGGGCTTTCAGTCCTCTCTAAGCGGTTTACAGAGTCAGCATATCACCCCCACAGTCTGGGTCCCCATTTCACCCACCTTGGAAGGATGGAAGGCTGAGTCAACCTTGAGCCTGTGAGATTAGAACCGCTGAACTGCAGATAACAGTCAGCTGAAGTGGCCTGCAGTACTGCACCCTAACCACTGCGCCACCTTGGCTCTTTTAAGCAGAATGTTTGGAAACTAAAGTCCAGTTTTGTGTCAGTTGCAATGGCTGCCTGTACAATTTGAAACTCAATTGATCTCTCTGGTTATTAGCCTTTCTAACTTGAATCACATCAATTTTGTCAGGCAGAAGGCCATGGCCAAAATAGCTCAGACCAGAATAAAAATCAGGTGTAGCAATTCTTTAATGCCTTGGGAAGGCCACACTTGAAATATTGCATCCAGTTTTGGTCACTTCGGTGTAAAAATGTGTTGAGGCTCTAGAAAGAGTGCAAAGAAGAACAACAAAGATGATTAGGAAACTGGAGGCTAAAACATATAAAGAACAATTGCTGGAATTGTGTTTGGCTAGTCTAAAGAAAAGAAGGACTAGGAGTGACATGATAGCAATGTTCCAATATCACAGGGGTTGCCACAAAGAAGAGGGAGGGAAGCTATTCTCCAAACCACCTGAGGACAGGACGAAAGCAATGGATGGAAACTAATCAAGGAGAGAAGCAACCTAGAACGAAAAAGAAATTTCCTGACAATTGGAACAATTAACAGTGGGACAACTTGCCACCAGAAGTTGTGAATGCTCCAACACTGGAAGTTTTTAAGAAGAGATTGGACAACCATTTGTCTGAAATGATATAGGGTTTCTTGCCTGAACAGGGGGTTGGACTAGAAGACCTCCAAGGTCCCTTCCAACTATTCTATTTTATTCTATTTCCCAATTTAAATAAAAATTAAGTGAATGAATATAGCTGACAGAATATTTGACTACCAGTTTAATATTTTTCCCTTTTTAGTCTTAAAAATAAAATTTGGTGGTAATTTTGGGTGAGCATCTGGAGTGAATCCATAGTTTGCACATGCATCTCTGGGCCTTATATTGTGTAGCACACATTTTTAAAGGATTTGGAGCCAATTATTTTGAAAACTGCTTCTACCCAGTTCCTTGTCTTTGTCTCCTGGATACTTCTTGAGCAGCAATAACTTTAAGCCCTGGCCAATGCAAGGGTCAGACTGATAAAAGCTGCAGTGTAAACTCTACTCCTTTTCTTTCATGAATTTTCCAAAGAGGCAGAACTTGCACCACAATTAAAACAGTGGGATGCATTGTCCTTCAGTCCTCATATATGCATTTTGTTTACTAGATTTCAAAAAGTGCCCAAGGTGGCAATACTGCACTTTCTCCTCCTATTTTTCTGCACAGCACAGCAACAATCCTGTGGATCAAGTTAAGCTCAGTTAGATCCTTTCCACCAGTAAGAGGTTCAACAATGGGGAACTCCAAGCTAAGTTGACTTTATGCTTCACCTATTCTTTATAAGGGTCCTTAAAACATTGAATTAAAAGTATATTTGAAATGATTCCATATACTTTAAAGCTATACAAATTTGTCGAGGTTGCCTCCTCTGAATATGGAGCCTATGCTGTGGGCAAATATCCCTACAGTGACTTAAAATCTTTTAAATAAATACAAACAAATAATGTCTGGTTCTTGTTTCCAGAGTTCAGGTTCATGTTCTCAAACAGCACTTTAGACTCTTGACTCGCAGTTGGTGTTTGCAGTCTATTTTTTTTATAGGTAGAAACCAAAATAATATCTTACAGGATCTTGGCTACTCTGCTGCATTATGAAATATGTTTAGACATAAACTGGCTCCCTCACTTCCAAAATGAGTATTAACTATGATTTTTTTAAAAGAAAAAAGTCTCAGTTAAAGTGTGGTATTATATTGATGTATAATTGATTGATTAGGTGCCATAAAAGGGGTGTCAATTCCAATAATCCAGATGGTTATATACTCTTCTGAATGATCTATTTTCAATTTGGCCTTTTAAGTCTCTGAATGGAATATTGATTGCTCTTGCATTCCGATCTATCCACCTGGCCATTGGCTCTTCTTATTTTCCCATCAATTTTCCAAGCATAGTGGATTTCTCGAAGGAATTGGGCTTTTGTATGATGGATCCATAATGTGATATGGCCTCATCATTGCTGCGCTGAGTAAGAATTCTAATTTGCTCTATGATCCTTTTCTATGTTTTTCTGCAATGACAGTGCTTTCAGTAGATTGAGTAAAAAATCCTATTTGTTAAAACTGTAGCACATACAAAAGATTGCAAAAGAATTGGGTACTTAAATACTTAAAATTGTTTGAAAGTAATCTATTACTTTTCCATCTCCCTTTCTATAATGTCATGCTTGTGACTTGCCCTTGTACAAGGAGACTTCTAAAGTGCCAGGAGTGTTGATACAGATATTTGGCAAGCTTGGGCAGGCCAGAGTGTCAAAATTGAATATCATCCCAGCTAGATCTGATTCAGTGTGATTAAGGGTGGCTTATCAAGAATACCCATAAAACTAATAGAACTGTGGAACAAGCAGAAACAGAAAGAGGCAATGAGATATAGTGCCACAGAAATAGGCAGGCCTATGAGAAGGAAGTTCTCTACTTAAAAACAATAAATATTTAAACCAATGCCTGTGTTAACGTGGTCCCATTTGTCCACTCTCCAAAGACTTCATATTGTATTTAGAAGTCACGTCTGGTGTGTAATTCTGCACCGGAGTCAGAGGTGGCTTCCTACCAGTTTGTACCTATTCGGTAGAACCGGTTTGTCAAATCTACCGAACTGGTTAGAAGAGGTGGACCCGGAAAGCAGGCCACACCTACAGAAGAGGTTCCAAAATTTTTTGAAACCTATCACTGACCGGAGTAGTCAACTTGGGCTCATCTTCAAAATGATGAGAACTGAGTCCTCAATTATATTAAGATATAAGATTAAGACCAGCATAAAACAGCCCATTAGCACAAGATTACAAAACTTTAAAACTACCCACACTGGAAGGAATTGAGTAGTGAGAGAATGAATGATGTTCCAAGCAATGTTAGCCTTGACTTCCAAAAGAGCCCTGGTAACCACAAAATGAAGCAATGTATAAAGAATGTTTTTTAAAAAGCAGGACCATGATTTGAGGAAGTCTCGGTTCTCTCTCAGAAAGCAATTGTTACTTGGAGGCCAGGCCAGCACCTCTTCTTTCAGAAACCAAAGGCAAGCTCCCAAGAGACCACTTTACTTACTTTGAACTTCAGATGAGGACAGCAGTAGCAGCAGCAACATCCAGGCTAGGAGCCCAGTCTGACTGCAAGGAAATGCCGCCATTGCAGTAGCAGTAGGGAAATCTCAGAAGAACCCCTAGAAGAATATTTGCAGCTTAGGACAGAGCAAGAACTTCCCCAGCCTAGATCCAGATAGGGTAGTGTGTGATACACGAGTGGGAAAAAGAGTGTCTTTATATTTACAGTCAGTAGGCAGTTTATTTTATTATTTCTTTTGTTGGTAAGCCACAAACTTTTTGTAGTTCAGGCCAAAAGAGGAAATATATTTTACTTATACAAAGGATTCAATGGTTAGAAGAAAATCCAGATACTGGGTATGCCAAATTTGTGGTGATTTAAATTTACAAAGTGACTCAGAAAGAAGAATTCTCAACAGTGTTCAGAAATAAATGCAAATATATTTTTTATATTTATTCATACAATTTAAACATTGCAAAACTCTAACCAAATCTAAGAACCTTATACTTTAAACCACAAATCAACAAACAGACAGAAACAGATCACATGTGTCCTGAAAATGGGCCAAATGTAACAATAAAAAAAACTTCTGGACCTCAACAACCCTAATGTTTGGGAGAATAGCCAGGTTTTCAATTACTTTCAACAACTACCTGTAACTGCTTAGTCTTAAAGTTATCAAACACTGCATAAGGATTTTATTTAATTATGGGAAGGGGAAAAATCAGTTTAAGCTACAGTGGGTATAATGTATGCATTCTCACTTGCAGTGGGCAATCAATTATTTTGCATGGTTTCCACCCAGCCTGCAATAAAGATCCTAACCAGTGCTTCTGAGCCTTAGCCAGCTAAGTCAGGTAGCAATAAAAAAATTCTGACTAATAGTCAAATCCTGGTCAAGGGAGTTTGATAGTTATCACTAGTTTTCTTTAAATAAACTCTACATTGATAACATGATGGTTCTCCCAAAGGTGTTTTTTCAGGAGCAACTGGACTAGCTTGTTTTTTCTTCAAGATGTTTCACTTCTTATACAAGAAGCTTCTTCAGCTCTGACTGGATGGTGGGCAATGGAAGGATTTATATTCCTAGCAGACACCTGGTCATTTGAATATTTTTAGAGAGTCATTGAATCTAGTTGCCTACTGAAAAAGCACCTTTGGGACAACCATGACCTGGATGCCTGAGAATCTCTATAAATATAATGTTTATTTGTGAGTCTGGCATCAATATTATTGTAGATTCAGTGATTTGGTATATGCATTAAATTTATTTTAGCTATTTTTTTAAAAAGATGAGGTAATTTCTCCAACTTCATTGCCATCCCCAGATTATATATCTAACCATATACTTTGAGAATATAAGTTTAGGTGGCATCTAAAAGAAAGAATGTTCAGTGGCAAATGTTATTGGTCAATTGTTTTTCTTTGTCTGGTTAGTAGCAGGATGCAGGATGAGTATATGCAGAACTACCAGTAGATCCATCTCCCCCCCCCAATCTTATCCAAACAATCTTCAAGTTGTTTTGTTTTCTGAATAAAACCATTTCTGTTTAAAACAGGAAACAGTGTTTTGTCACTTAGAAGAACAACATAGTCATATCTCTTACTAAATAGTGGACAATTTTTAAATTGGGGTAATGAAATAAATGGAAATTATAAAGAAAGAAAAGAAATGTTTTTTATTTCTCATAAAATCAGGAAGGTCACATTCTTGGCACAAATTATAAATTAACCGGTATCTCAGGTCTATCTCAAATTTGTGCTTCTTGTGTCACCAAAATGAAAGATTTGTATTTTCCTTTCTCCAATTTCCACTCTTCTTGTACTTCCAAAATGCTCTTAAGTGTTTGGACATCGAGAGCAGTGGTGGGTTGCAGGCAGTACACCCCGGTACGGGCGAACCAGAGCCAGCCCGGAACACCAGATACCGTTCCAGTACGGTGCTCCGGAGGACCCGCTTGCCCACCCGAGTTCCATACCTGTGTTTTAAAGCTTCTGCACTGCCACACACGTGCATGGCGCATACAGTGCCTGTGCACCACTCCATGGAGCAGCTAGAGCATCACAGAGTGTTGCGGAGGTGATAAGATGCATGCACGCACACTGCACACGTCCATGAGAACACCGGCGGCCCCGTTCCAACTGTACCAGTTGGAACGGGATTTGAAACCCACCATTGAGAGGAAGTAGTAAGAGATAGATATTATTTTCTGTAGGGTATTACCCCCTTCGTACCTGTGTTAGATTCAGGATTTGTAAATATTTATCAAGCATATAAAAGATGCTCCCATGTAGTTAGCAAAGAGATGGCTTTTATTTTTCCCATGAAGAACCTGCAAAGGAATGTCAGTGGCTCAGAACACAGCAAGCCCTTCCACAGCCTCAAACCAGATAGGGTTATGGCAGGGGTGGATTCCTATTGGCATTGGTACCAGTCCACTTCTCACACGTGCCTGACACTTATTGCTTGTGCATGCGCAGTTCACTGAAAATTGTTCTGCACATGCGCTAAGACCATGAAAATCTAATAAAAAACATAATGGCAGCTGAAACTGAGGAATTGATTCTGGGGCATGGCCAGCCTGGGTCGCTGCTGGTTCTGCAACCCAGGCCAAATTACCACTACCGGTTCACCTGAACCAGTGCGAACCGGTAGAAAACCACCTCTGGGTTATGGTTATTGGATGTCTGAACAAGACAAATGGAGATAAGGACAATTGGGAGGGAGGACACCTGCAAGAAAGAAGAACACAGTAACTTTAAATTTCTTGAAATCAGCAACAAAAATTACAGCAAACTGTCAAAAATGTTCTTAGGCCTACATGTTTACGGAATTACTTTTTCCAGCATTAGAAAGACTTCTGGTTTTTCAGTTAAAATCCCCCCCTTAAAATCCTTAACTTCAAGAACAAATGCTAGCAATGATATAAAATAAATGATATGATTTTCAAATGTCATCATAAAAAGCATGAGAGGTCATGCGATTTACAAACTACTATGGTCAGATTCATTGGATTAAAATTAATTCTTGGGTCAATTCAGGATTCAGATGAGAGACAGGAGGATAAAACAAAGGACGTGTTCCTTGCCAGATTTCTGGTAAACAGGTTGAAATGTAATAAACTGACAAGAAAAGGAGTGTCACTGCTCTCATTCACAGGCATATTTATTTTATTTCACTGTTTTGTTGGTGACCACAGTTTCCTGGTTCATATTTGTTATTTCTATCCCCTTGCAGGATTCATGTTTAAGCTTTGCTTTTCTAAAAGAACAAATTGATCACAGGGAAGATATTAAGAATGTGATCTTTACTTTTTTTGCCTGTCATATTGTATATTTGCGTTTCTTTGGCAGCTTTCACCAACATTTCTGGACTTGATTGATAGGCCTTTCTTTGTTACTATAAAGTTAAGAAGAGATAGGTAAGATAAGGCAAAAGATAATTGATAGCCCTTGAATCACTGCTTCCATTTGGGGAATTAATCCAATTTGGTTTAGATGCTCAAACTGTTGAAGCAAATCATTCTGTACATATTCAAAATATCTAAATCAGTTTTGTGGCAATCTGGCTGAATCATTGTTGTACTGAATTTTTGTATTTTGGCATAGGTAGAATTTCTTTTTTTTAAAAAAATAATTTTTATTAAATGTTTTGATCTTTAAAAACAATAAGAAAAACACAGCAAAGAAAAAAACACAATAAGACAAAACAAAACACAGAACATACATAACAATATACAGTAATTTGACAGCTTTCTATATCGGCTTTCTTTCTTAGCTGTGTTTTTCTTATTGTTTTTAAAGATCAAAACATTTAATAAAAATTATTTTTTTAAAAAAA